AAGCTTGACCAGCTGCTCTTTTTAAGCATATTACGCAGATTTGGCCTACCGGGCAATTGACTTCCAAAAGAAGCTGGTAAATAGAAGCAAAACACCCTACGTGGCCGACTTGCGCCTGATTCACCCCTAAGCCGAATATAGTTCCTCTAAAACGACCTTAATCGGCACGAAAATTTTGACAGGGTAGGGTTTCGAACCTTTCAACTCGCTGCTCTGATCTTGGTTATCATAAAACCACCCAGTTACAACGAGCTTTAACCAAAAATGAAACAGAGAATTTAAAAGCAAAGAAACTCGAATCATTTTAGTTTCATTGAAAACATTTCGATACTAGACTCCTGTTCAGTTCAAATATTTCATGAATAAAAATAGAATCAATGGAGTGAATTAAGTAACTCGGAAGAGATTAAACCTAAATTGTTGAACAAACGGTAGAAGTAATTTAAAAAAAGGCAATTATTTAACAAATCAAAGCATCGTTGACGCTCCGAGTACAAAAGCGTTCAAGAATAGACTAGATAAAGCTATGCAGATTGCGGAGGTATAAATTTCGGATAGAAGTGCCTCCAAACTCAGAAATTGGCGGATAATCAGATGTTACTTGGCTCCAACATTAAATGTTAATCTGGTCTAAAGGCCAGTTCTCATATCAACAGAAGACAAGTCAAGAATATAATTATTACAAGAATATTAAGAAATCGGCGATAGGCCAAACTGGGATGTTTTTTCAACGGCGATATTACTGTGCTATAATGTACTACAAACGTATAACCGCTGCAAGAAGAGTCCCTGCCACTGATTGTGCACATTTCCCGTATTTTTCGCAATTATGAGTGCTTTGATAATCACCTTATATTGGTTTTACTAGAATTTTATCTTCAACCTTACAAATGTCTACATTATTTCATCATGGAACAGCCCAGCGTTCCTGACGTCGGACCTCTTCCAGCTGTCGTACATGTGGTACTCGGCCACAGGCTGCCTCATCGTCATCGTCGTGGGGCTCATCATCTCTGCCTTCACCGGCACCCAAGACCTGAGGAAACTCAACCCCAAGACCCTGTCTCCTGGCTTCCATTGGGTCAAGCGCATCATTCCTGGCTCTGATAAAATCGGGCTGGACTGGGTAAGGCGGTATAAATGATGCATGGAAATGTTTGTCTAAAGAAGATACTGGCTCTGATCAAATCGGGCTTGACTGGGTAGGTCGGTATAAATGATGCATGGGAATGTTTGCCTAAAGAAGATACTGGCTCTGATAAAATCGGGCTTGACTGGGTAAGTCGGTATAAATGATGCATGGGAATGTTTGTCTAAAGAAAATACTGGCTCTGATCAAATCGGGCTGGACTGGGTAAGGCGGTATAAATGATGCATGGGAATGTTTGTCTAAAAAAGATACTGGATCTGACAAAATCTGGCTGGACTGGGTAAGTCGGTATAAATGATGCATGGGAATGTTTGTCTAAAGAAGATACTGGCTCTGATCAAATCGGGCTGGACTGGGTAAGGCGGTATAAATGATGCATGGGAATGTTTGTCTAAAGAAGATACTGGCTCTGATAAAATCGGGCTGGACTGGGTAAGTCGGTAAAAATTATGCATGGGAATGTTTGTCTAAAGAAGATACAGGCTCTGACAATATCGGTCTAGAATGGGTGTCATTTAAGAGGATGAAATTTATGGGAATACAAATGTTACCTATAAAAGGAAAATAAGAAACATCCATTTGAAAACTTTTTTGACCGCAGCCCTTCTTCGAGAATAAGATTTTTGTTAATTGGATTATTCATTGGAGTGATATTATAGTACACAACAACTGCGCATTGTGTAATTTATCCTAGAATCTTATAAAATTAGCTCTGTGTCGAAGTGGAATCTAGTATCTATTGTCGTTTGCTTTTCTCGCTGACAAATGACCAACCCTGATAAATGATCGATTAACTATCATTTTCAATTTATATTTTTCAAAGACTTGATTGCGCTCATGAAGATATTCTTAGTTTCCTAGAATATTTTCATGATTTTCCCCGCCTTTTCCAAGGTTGACGAGAGAGCCACGCTACGTGAAGACCCAAGCGTGATAAACGGGCTCAATAACTACGGCTTCGAGAGCGAAAAATCCGAGAAATACAACGGAGGATTGATCGAGGCCTCCAAACTCTGAAATGAACCTGGAGCCCCGACCAGATCCTGTATCCAGAAAAGCGTTACAAAAGTTTTATTTCTTGTCTATGTATTTAATTCAATGTAATTTAATTTTTATTTTTTTTCCCGGCTCATATGCACGCAGACTTGCCTAGAAGCAGATATCTAGACATAATTTAAATGTTGTACATACCATTAATATATTCAAATGCTCTTGATTAATTTGTCCGTATATTTATATGCACCATTGTATATGTGATTTTTGTTTATTTAATGCAAATCAAAATTATTTCTTGTTCCGTAAGATAAACAAAGTTATTTATCGTCTGGCAAATCTACCTAATTGCTGTAGATGTGTAGTATCTTGTGTTCCTGTACATCTTATTAATATTGTTATTAATACATTATTCTCAATAATGTAGTTTCAATTTCATTGTTTCGAAAGCAACGTTCATCTAATTGTCATCTAATGCATTCGACGAACTCTGATGCATATTGAGCTCAATACGCAATGGTGTGCATTTTCAATAATTATAATACAAAGTGAGACAAGCTGCATAATTTAATGTCACAATATCACATTGATGGCGTGATATTGTACAATGTGCAGGATATTGTGTGCTTGACGAAGTAAGATATAATGAAACTTTGCAATAACATGCACTTCTATATGCACTTCACATGCACTTTCATCCATACCGAGTTCCGGTATATGTATATATTTATACAGTTTTACCTATGCAATCTGACAAGGGTTAATATATAGGTTGTTGTGGATTTTTGCAGCTTGCGGTTTCATCTCTTAATAAATAGCAAAGTGTACCTCAAAATATAACAATAAACAGCTCCTTTCGACCCAGATGGATTCAATTTGCCGTAGCGATGTTAATCAAGTAAGTTGAAAATAACCCGTAGACCTAAATACGAGCCTTCTCTTATTCAAACGGTGATTCGTTTACACCAGCAACATTCCGATAGATGTAATGGAGTTTGCACTGCTGTTGTTGCTGCTTCATTGTATTTGGAGTAAATTTTTCCGTTCCTGATAATTTCTGATGAAGTTTCGTACGATTATTTCACTCGTGCGTGAATTGTGCAAATCGTATCATTTATTTATGGTAGGTTTTTTTTCTCTCTCTGCTTGGTAGTTTTAGGTCCGACGTCTCACTTTACTCGAATTGAGTTTCCCTGCTTTCCCGGCCAATTAATAAAAAATTAATATTTTTCTTTTTATATATCATGTTACGGTCAGGAAAATGGCTTGATTTTTGTATTGTCAGGATGAAGATGTGCTTAGAACTTGAAAGATGTTGTATTTAGTTGAAAAAACGTGCATTCGAGAACACTTACAAACAACGTTCGTGGTACACTAATCCTAATATCTATTATTAAATTACCAATATCTATTATTTAATATTAAATCTATTAAATACATTTATAATGTATTAAATGTAGTTATTTTATCCTCGCTTCTATTCTGTAATTACCGTAAGCTAATTACTTGCAGCTCATCACCGATGACGATCTGGACTACACTCCACGGGACCTCATCGCCGTCTTCTGATGGCCACGCCAACTTATCGAGTCTTCTGGTGCTTAATTGTTTCATTCCTGCTTTAAAACATTCTCTGTCCAACTCAACATTTTTCTTCATGCCGTTTTTATATTAAAGTTAATTTCTGCTGAAAAAAACTCTCCATCTGCCGCAATACAAATATTTTTGCAGGAATGATTCAATTTCTTTTTGTATTGGTATTATCCATCCCAATCGTCAACGATATTTTATCTTATTTCATAAACTTTCTTCGATATTATTCCTCACGCCGTGGAAAAACGACCTTAAAATTATCTACGTATTATTTATACCAAGATATTCACAAAATTTAGGTCGACTGATGCAATTTTATCATCTCACTTAAGAGTTATTTTTTAATATTTATTGCAGTGCGCATGCGGGGCAAAATATTTTAAATTCAAAATATTTTAAATTATATTTTTAGTCTTTAATTTTTTAATCAATTCGTTGTTTAAAACTGGGGTCCTCTAACGTTTTTAGAAATTCAAGCCGCTCCTGGAACGCTTGATTTCCTTGCCATGCTCGAAGGGTCGAAATAAATACTTTTATATTAAGTATATTGACAGGGAATGGTGAAATAAATTGATATTTCATTAGCCCTTTTGATAGCCACCTGCTCTGAGGACCCCCTTTTTAAACTGTACCCACCAATTGCCAACGAAATGCTCGCTGTTATGATAAAGTTTTCAGATTTATTATTATATTATATTCGAATATGAATGCTTTGAGAAACTAAGGCAAGGCCCATAAACTCAATTCGGTTATCTTTCCACATGGCTTTGACTTGGGACTTATCTATTCGAGTGATATACTTCTTTTTCAAATAATTTTGAAAACAATATAATTTGAATAGTTCTATTTTTAATGCTGTGAAAATACCACAGGAACTTCAATCAATGATTATGTCACATTAAGAAGATTTGAGGCTATATTCAATTTAGAATAATCGATCCGTCTTACAGTACTCACAATCCAAATAAGTGCTCAAGCCTTAACATTTAGACATCAACTTCAGAAATTGTTTTCAAGAGGAGACGCATTCGGGAACGGAACGTCCTCAGTGTCGAGGTCTCTATAATTACTTACATGCAGCTCTAAACTTTCCAGCGCCTGGCCGCGGGCCGCCCTGCAGTGCGGTTGAGGCCTCCGTGGTGCAGGGAGGTTGTAACGTGCTGCTGCAAGTAACTCCATTCCGTGCATATATGTTCGAGTATCAGTCGCTATTTTAAATATTTGTTATGAAAACAAATAGGCCTTTTCAAATAATTTTTCAACGATACTGTTTTTGAATATATTTTAAAACTAGTTCCTTGAACAAGTGTCCAATGTTTTTCTGCACTTCACAGACGCAATGCAGCCGCTACCAGTTCGATCTCCTATTGTCGTATTGAAAGGGTTGTCATATCTTTTTTAGGGTTATGAAGTGTTGTACTTAAGATGCAGCACTAATATATGATAATACTTTTATAATCTCATCAAACGGCTGCTAGAAAACTTCTAAATTAATGTTGATACATGTGATTCCAAGACACAAAGAGTCTGTGCAAAATAATTGAGCAGTCCGCTCACGCACTAATAGCCTGTCGGAATTCTTGTCGGCCCGTAGTTCAAGGCTCTGAATAATTGTGCCCTTGTTAAAACACAATAGGCAGCTATGGTTTATATGGCGCTGAATGATCCGACTTTTGAAAACTCTGATTAAACCCTACAGAAGCATGCACGTAGTTTGTTGTGTTACGCGGAAATTGAAATCAATCATGATCATCTGTGCGTACGCGAAGTGGCCGATGTTTGGCGCCATAAGCATAGTTTTCAAGAAGGATTTTTCTCATCAGTTCGATGTATAAATGTATTGACTGCAAGTTATTAAGTTAGCAGCTCGTGCATGTTTTTATATATATTGGTTTAACAGTGAAAATCTTATTCTACTTTGAAAAGCTTATCAAAAGGACTTCACACCCGGCTCATATCTCGCGATATCAAATGCATGCGTAATATATTTCTCATAGCTTGCACAATGCGGAAGTTTTATTGTAAAATCCGTAGTAAATTTCATGGTTGTAAAACTGCGCATTCATTTCAGCGGTTGCGAGCGTCATATTCAGCTTATCATAATTGTGCCTTTTTGTCCATAATTTTTGTTCTGTTTAACTCCAGATAATTTTCAGACTTATTTAATTTTATAATAAAATCCAGATATTTTTCGGGTATATACAGATAATTTTCGTACTCCCATTATGATGTTGCCCCGCGGCCAATCTGCCCATATGTTCAGTTTAGAACAATTCATATTATCTTTGAATCAGTGATACATTGGTATTTCCATTCATTAGTACAGAGATTTCCGTCAGACTATAGATGGCCATGCATGTAGCGGTCAACGTGCAGGGCTCTGCAGTCCCTGTCTAGATAAAGAGAGAATGCAGTCAAATGTTTCCGCTTCCATAGCCATGTCATTTTGGAAGTTGAAACTCCGCTCGGCGGGCGAAATTGAGGCATTTGCTTTAAAAAAAAAGCATGTACAGGCAATTCTCGTATTTCAATTATGATGTCGTCAAACGTTTCCGCTTCCACGACCATGCCATTCTTGGAAGTTGAAACTCCGCGCTAAGTGCAGCGTTTGCCAAGCAGCTTCGACCTTCATACGAGTAGGAAGCGTTCTGGTATCCTTCCGTTGATTCCGTCACAGCGGAAACGTGTGTACCGATGACTGCTGTAGACAAACGTAATTTCAGTTTTGTCCTATAATCTTAACTGAGTAAGAAAGTCACTCTATTATATTGCAATGAAGACACACATAACAAAATTGTATGCTTAATGACTTTTTCTAATAACAGTTAATTTTTTATTAGCGGAATTTTTAAAAGTGAGAATAGAAATGGGGCTAGAAATTAACTTCTTGAACTCCAATCATTGGTACATAAACTTGCTTTCACTATCTAGGTAATAAAATTCTGAAAACGACAAATATATTAATATAAATATAAAAGTTAAACATTCCATTCTCTCTGAAAACTCTTAGTATTATCAACAATTGATCCCCTGAGCCATGATGATTTGTATTCCCGCCTGGTGTATATGCGTACCTCATAAAATTTATATGGCTGTAATTTAACTTTGGATCAACAAGTTTTATTATGTGTCCATATCAACGGAGAGATGAGGTTAAACTTACCACAACTTGGGTAAACCTCTCATTCTTACGTCGTCTATTCGCGACGCACCTACGCGCGTATATACGAGTGCCTGCGTAATAGTGAACGCAACATACCTACGCGCGTATATTCAAGTGCCTGCTTGTAGTGAACGCAGCACATCTACGCGCGTATATTCAAGTGCCTGCTTGTAGTGAACGCAGCACATCTACGCGCGTATATTCAAGTACCTGCGTATAGTGAACGCAACACATCTACGCGCGTGTATTCAAGTGCCTGAGTATAGTGAACACAACACATCTATACGCGCGTATATACAATTTCCAGCAAGTCTGCATGTTCCAAGGTTGCAAGGCGCTCGAACCGGAAGTCGGGGGGCCTCTCCTACCTGCGTGATGTTCCATTCGATGGCGAGGCATTATGCTGGAGCAATGTCGTATATGATGCGCGAATCCTCTTACTTGTCTGCCTGCATTGGCGCTCATAAAATTATGCGATAGTTGATACAAAATCATTAGTAATTGAATGTCTGTACGTATTTGCATTATTTGCTGTTTAGTAGATTCCTTCTTATGAAGATTTCGATTTAGGCGCTCGTGTGACAATACTAAATAAAATAATTTTGCCTTCAAAACTTGATAATTGGGTGCTCGTGATGTGATTTAAAAATCGTTGTATTCGATTTA